AAATCCCCCGCCTCCCTTCCTGCCCCTATACAATCTCATACTGCGTTTACGTTAGTGCTGGGCGAGTTCCCGAATATTGAAAGCTAGGAATCGTAGGAATCGACTCCAAACACAATTACTTATTTTCTAAAGATGTGATTTTTTTCCCCGGTGGTTACCTGGTTGGCTCCGAACGTCTTCAGGATTTAGGATAACCTTGATTTCGAAACACTACGAAGCATTAACTTTTATTTTTCACAAGTAGATTCTTTTTTTAAAAAGAAAAATTAAATGATAAAACCGTTGGTTTACGTAAAAAGGAGAAGGAGCATTACCTCCGTAGTATTAATCGAGGGAATCGGTTCCGGATTCGACTCTTCGCCAAGCTCTAGTTTACGTTGTAGGTTCCGAACCGTTTATTTTGTTTTTGTTTTTGTAGAGGTTTTACGGTGCTCGCAACTGCATATTTAAAGTCATATGAACGCAAAGGGGTGAATGTCAACAGAGAAGTCCTTACAGGGAATCAGACTTACTCTGCTCACCTCTCTAGCCTCAACAGCACAAAGTTTGCTTTGACTATCAAGGCACCCCGGAAATAGCGGGTCACAAGAGTGTGACAAACATAAAAAAGAAGTAGAGGAAAAGGACGATAGTAAGGATTAGGAAAGAAAAAGCAGCAGTTCCCTGTTGCAGTTCAGGCACAGCATGACATTGGTGAATCAGCCCAGAAGTTTGGTGACTTCCGCAGGTTGAGAGCCTCCGGTATACGGAAATTATTTTTTGTGTGCCTTTAATCGACTTTTTTCAATAAAATCCACACCCAAATACGCTTTTAGATGGACATTAACGGTGTTGAGCCAAAAAGGCTGGAATTTGATTCTTGTTTAAACAAAACTTCCAAACCGACAGAAATAAATGCCGGTTTCTTCCATTTCATTATATTTGACAAGTGCCTGATTTCATTTCGATGCTTTATAAACTAATGTGTATTTGATTCTTCTCGGAAAAGAGAACTTGTATGAGAGAGTTGATTGTCAATGACTCTCTCTCTCTCTCTTTCTCTCTCTCTCTCTTTCT